TATATATATATATATATATATAGCAGTGTGGTCGTGCAGGAGAAATAAACCGAAGCGAAATATACATTTTTATCAAGTAATCGTCACATGGCGACCAAGAAGCCGAATAACTCAAAATTATAGAATAAAAAGGCACGATGCGATTAATAAACCGTGAGAAAGTGTTTAATTTTGATTACGAAGGAGAATTGAGCTAAAGAAATAACATAAAAAGATTGGCTAAAGCTTTTTTTTTTGCTATATATATATGCGTATCTTTGACATGGCGAGCGTTGACAACGTACATGTGTTAGCAAATTTCTGAATGAAGTTTTTTCTCTGGCGTATACCACGAAAAGCATAGCCAAACTGAACTCTATAAGTTGAGAAGAATTGAAAAGTTGGGCCGATATTGCCTGTTTAGCAGGGTACTGAACTCACGTTCATGAGAACGGGAGTTCTAATCCATCCAGCCGAAGACTCACCATGTAGTAAATCGTGACCACGGTAAATCTGTTGGGTCACAAAGCCCTCCATGAATGAGTGTCAGCATCTTTTTTTATTTTCAAAGAAGTCTGAATGCTATATAATAATTATTTTTAAAGCATAATTAATGATTAGTTTCTGCAAGTTTATCTCTTGTATACCATTTATATCAATTTAACTTCCAAATAGTTAGGTCATTTAACAGCTTAACAGTAACAGCTCCAATTTCTGCAATTTATGCTTGTGTTTTAATAAAGTTATGAATTTTTAATACAGTAGTTGCTTTTTAAAAACATAATTATTATTTTTCCGGTTTCGTGGGGTGGGATGAGCAAACAGGGGGCCGATACCAGTAGTTAAATCTTAAAATATCATTAAAAAATTATTTTTTACTTAAAAACTTTTTTTTATGTGAAATTATGTTTGCATAAACAAGTTTTATAATCGTGAACAAAAACTCCAGACGGCTGCTATTCTCGAGGATTTAAATCCGCAGGAAAAAAACATGTTCACTCATATGACGTATGATTTTGAATCTTATTTCAAACTTGAAATATGGTCTGCACTAATTAATTTTTATATTTAAGGTTAATCCTACGAACCATTAAGATAGTCCCAGTAGGTGAAAATTCGATCATTAGATCAAAGGTTATGCAAGGTTTTCACGTTTTTTTATTTTGCTCACTGTATTTATAGAAGGACCCAAATAAGGCGGAGATGAGAGGTCTAATGTAAGAGGTTTCAACTAGAAAAATGTATGTTTAATTTTAGAGATGGGGATATTTTCTGATCAGATTCTATAATATTTTTTTTAATTTCCAATGGCAAATTTATTGGACAGTAGTTACAGCACAATAAGAAAAGTAAAATGCACTAAAAGATGGTAAACATAATGCAGTAACATGAGTCCATTAATTCAAAAGGTCTCGGGCTTCACAATATCGCTTGGCTAGAGAACACCTGCGCAAAGCGGGACAGTGCATAATATGGGCGGCATCCAAAGATGCCGCCCATAATTAAAGATTCTATAATATTTAATTTATAATTTCTTCTTATAAGTAAATCTAGCAGATAATTAATAAATTATAAAATTTGAAATTTAATAATATTGAAGTGTTCTATAATATATTTTGTCCATTGAAAAATTTTTGTAATGCAAATTGCTATCATATCTAGTGGTCAATTTCTATTAAGGTTTAGAATTAGTTACTCATATTTCTACACATGGTGAAAATTCCAAGCAGCAAAATGTTCTAACCTACCTCATAGGTAACATATATAAGATGTCAAAAAATCCGAAATCAGATTTCTGGAGGGAGTATGATTTATTCGAATCCCATTACATCATACTGAATTATTAACAAACTTAACGAAATTCTTTTTCCATAAGTAAGAAAGTAATTTTTGGAGTTTCATTTCTTTAGAAAAAAAAGCGCTTTTATTCTAAATTAATACTTGAATTCGAACAAAAATACATTTAAAAGTAAAAGGTTATCGATAAAGGGTTTTTTGCCTGTATAATTTATTAAATTTCTAATCATTCTGAGTACATGTATTATCGAAAAAAAAGAATATTATTTTATTATTTAAAAAAGAAATTGGAAAATGTATCGATTAGTGAAATGTGCCGTGACAACTTAGATAATGTCTCAGCCACTAAAGATCTCTGCGAATAAAAAAAAATCAAACTTTGGATGTGCTGTCTCTTTTCATATCTTTTATCCTCCAGTTAGGAGTGTCAAGAAAGTTTTTACTTCGTATGAGTGATGAAATGAATTTTTTCCTCTTCGTTTCACTTCTAATTCTGCTGGTTGAAAAAAAATCGTCTGTATGTTTTTTCATATATGATTTGTTGAGGGAAAAAGTTGCTTTCAGCTCTGCTTGGCATTTTAAAAGAACTTTGTTCAAATCGTCAGGAAAATTTTAAAGCTTTTGTCTGTCAAGAATTTTATTGAAAACTCTTTTTAAACACTCTTTCTCTTGATATATCTATATTAATATATTATAACAGCTAGAAACACAGGAAAGAGAGTGGTTTTCTTGAAAAAAATAAAATTTCCAGGGAATCTATAAAAAAATAGAAAAATGATACTTTGTAAGTATTTTACGAAAGAAAAATTCTTAGACCTTTTTCAGAGAATCTTAATGAAAAATATAAACTTTCGAGGTATTGATAGTATTTCCATAAATATGACGGCTTTTAATTTTAAGTTAATTTTTAATGCCGCGAAGAAAGGATGTTTCTTTACCCATGTCTTTTGATTCTGGAAATTATGTTTTCCATGAAATAGGATCGAAAAATTGTTTCAAAAAGTTGCACTACTTAACTGCGTCTTCAAAAAGGCTCTAACGAGAAATAAGAAATAACGAGCATTATTTTTTGTTATATATAGTCATAGTCTAGTTGTATTATAGTCTAGTTATATAGTCTAGTTATATTATAATATTCTTCCGAATTTAAAAATAAATTAATGTCCATAACTTTCAAAATTAAAAATAATTAAATAAATAACAACAATTTTGCAAAAACATCAAAGAACATAAGAATATTATTCAATAAAATTTTAGGTTATTTTTTTGAATTTTCGATTTCCTAGAAATATACTTTTAAATCGTTACTATTTTTGTTTAGTATTAGTACTTTTACTTGTACTTTTTACTCGTTACTTTTTAAAATAAGAACTTTTTACTTTCTACTCGTTACTTTTTTTAAAAATACTTGTACTTTTACTCGTTACTTCTTAAAAGTAACATTGCCATATATGATCATATCACAAAGTTTATGAGAATAATGAACAGTTTTCATCTGCCATCGAAAACGATGTAGCTTTTGTAAGGGATAAAATTAAACTTAATCACTTTATCAATTCAACGAAAAAATGATGTAATTGGAAAAAAACGAGGGTCAATAGCGTATTTATTTTTATATTTTAATTATTTTTAGAGAAGTGGTCTTATAATTTATTAACATTACATTTTTCATCTATTTCCAATGTTTTTGTTAACTTAATCAGTATATGCGTTATTTCAAATCCTGTTTTTGTGTTAGAATACATCAAATTGTTAGAAATGTGTTGTTAGTTCTTATTTCGTACATTTAAATTTTAAATAGAACAGTTATACATCGCGTAATTTAAATAAAAGTGGTTTTATAATTTATTCGCAGGCTGCATTATAATAACGTCATGTAATTAAGAACGATTACTATCCACCGATGTATCTGCACTCTGTTCTTTGCTTTTATCCAAATATAACGCTTGAAAAAATGTATGTATTAGTTAAGATAATTGTTTTTCTGTGATCTAAAAAAATTTACTAGCGTTCACGTTATTTTTCTCTTCCTTACTCTACGAGATCTCTTACATCATTAAGATTTTGACTTTTATCTTTGTTCCAACATCGATCTATTTATCTTTTAGTCGGGTTTCCATTTATCTTTATCCGCTGATCTTGTATATCATGAGGATGTTCCGCAACTTATCTCAAAGATTTCCGTTTTAATTTTCTTAATATATCTCTGTTTATATATCGATGACAGCGAATTAATTGTACCGTAACAAAGCATTTTCCATTTATGTTAGATTTGTTCGAAAATCAAATCGTTTAAACCATTTGTCATTTCTAAAGGGGAATTTTAAATACAAATTAATTGATTCGGAAGATTGAGGAAGATGTTAGTTGGTTTAAATAGAAATTACACATAAGTTTATTTTTCCTTAAAAACCATTATTGTATGAAGAATTTTACGCCTTTTACATAAATAAAAATCATAACTCGAGCACGTCAGCTTATGTTTTCATTTTTCTAAATTTAATTTTATGTTTTTGTTGCTGATATGTACGTAACAAAAAGTTACTTTCATCAATTGGTTATGGTTTATTGTATAATCAAATAGTTTTAACTATTAGAATGGTTATGTCTATGTTTTCAAATCTTTAATTCGTTATGCAAACGAATAAACTATTCATATTATAAACAATCGAACGTTTTAATTTTTAAAAAAAAATTTTTTTATTCTGTTTATTATTATGAGAAACAAGTAATTTCACAATTAAACATACTTACGTGAATTACTAATTCATCAACTTATCAATACTTTGATCAATTAGTAATAGTTTATTGTATGATCAAGTGACAAATTTAACTATTAGAATGGTTAATTCCTTGTTTTTAAATCTTTAATTCGTTATGCAAATGAATCAACTATTCATATTGTAAATAATCGAACAATGTTTTAATTTTTAAAAAGATTATTTTATTCTGTTTATTATTATTAAAAACAAATAATTTCACAATTAAACATACTTACGTGAGTTATTAATTTTCATGCAATCTTAATAAAGTATATAATATTTTAGTTGCGAATATTTTTCGTTAATGAGTATTTCAAGATATATTTTATTTTAAATGAAGTGTTTTTTTAAGTAATATAATGCAAAACCATTGCATTTTTACATCAAATTAATCCTTAGTATTGTTTTAGAATAAATAGTTCCAGAATTTCTAGTTGGTAGCATCTCAGTGCACGACAACATCTTATTGCCCACAATGAATCTGCATCTTACTAAATCTTGTGGCAGTATTTTTCACCAAGAACGTTTTCTATCCTTTTTCAAATGTGGTTTATAATTGTATTTTTCCACGTTTTTTTATCCTTAAAGTATCTCATAATAGTTCATAAACTTATCTTAGAAGTAACAGTAATAAAATGAAAATGAGTAGTGGGACTTTTAGTATATATTTCTAAATTCAATTTGCCTAAACACTAATCAATTACTGTAATATCATTTAACTGATAGCTGCATGCATTATTCTATTATTCTAAGTGGTTCGTTTGATCTCTGCTATCACTAACAAACTCAAATTAATCAACTATTATTATATGCTAAGCCTTTAACTAATTATTTTGTGTAATAACTCGCAAAAACTAACACATTTGATATAGTATTCTTAAAATTCTATAACGAGATAAAATTACGAATTTTCCAAGAAACGTTGTTTGAAAAATGGAAAAAATGCTTGGCGTACATTTGTTAGATGATTAATTAGTTTAAACTCTTGATTTGTTTTCATTTGTGGCTAAACATAATTATCTTAACGTGTTTGTTTACACATTTTGCATGCCTCTGCAACTGAAGATACCGTTATCTTCTGTAGGTAAAAATATTTTAGACTTTTTTTTAAGTATTTTAGTTAATTTTTAGTTTATTCTTAGTCAAATGTTTACGAATTATTCTTAGGGTAAATTTTTAGCAGCGGCAAAATTAAATGCAAAATGTTCTGAGTAATCTTGTTTTAAAAGGAAGCAGTTGCCAAAGTTTTAATTGTAGGTAGAAGATAGAATTGTTTGAGTTTTTGATTCGCAACTATCTATGGTAAAATATAATCAATCTGAAGATCCAAATTTCTTTCATTTGTAGAAACTTTGATTTCAACAATTGCAATATATTTCAATTACATATGTAGCTTGATTATTTTTAAATTATTTCCATATAAGAAAATGTCAGTATATTCATAGCTTAATATAAATTCCAATAAAAGTTTCAGTATTAGTTTTATAGTATTAAACTATTCAGTATTCATTAATAAATTTAAATTAAAAATTCAGTATCAATTTTAATCGATTAACGATCTTGATTTGAACTCTGAGTTGATCTAAACATATAATTATAAGTCTAAATCTTTATCTTGAAAAAATATGTATATATATAAGGTTTTAATACAAGTGATAGCCAATATCATCAAAATAAGATAATTTTTTTAAAGTAAATAAATGAATAAAATCATAATCTTTTGACTTAAATTATATAATTTTATTTTTGATATTTACCTGTCTAATCATCTGATACAATATCTTAAAAATACTTAATTTCATTTAATATTATTTAAAATACTTAACATCATTAATATTATTTGAAGGAGAAATATTTATTATTTAACTATTAAAGACTAACCAGTGAAAAAAATTAAAATCATGATTATTTTTGTTCCAGATAAGCATCCTACTGTTTTAAAGACATGGCAGCAATTTGCCAGTCAGATCTCCAATAAAGAGAAAATTACTTTAGATCCGAATACATTTACAAAAAACAGTTATTCTAGGTTTCTCTGGGCGAAACAGAACAAATATTTCTTCAGTATTGATTAGGACTGGGCGATATAAGAAATTTTATATCGTGATGCATCGTCACCAGAAAAAACCTTTCCTGGACTACAAATTCTTTTAATCATAATCTCGTATTAAAGTGAACGTTTCGATATTAAAATTTACACGACCACAAAAATTTTAAACTTAATTATATTTTAAGCAGTCTAAATGAAGCAATTTTAACTATTGCTAATTATTTTTAAATTTTTATTTTTATCGATAATTACATAGTCTTAATTATTTTTAAATCTTTTCTCCTTACCTTACTTTTAGCTATAAATGTTGATAAACTTTATAGTTTTATATTGCTTTAAATACAAACATTTAATGTTATCAATATTTTTTTAAATATATATAAACTTTTTTCAACTATAAAACAGATGAAGAATACGAAGGGTGTAAGCGACGCCTTTTTAAACGCTGAGTTTTCTTGAAAAAGTTCTTATTTGTATAGTCTCATTTAACTATTCATCGTTCATTTATTTTGCTAAGTCTATGAATCTCAAAGATATTTTATTTTATAACCATCGTTGAACAACCAATTCAAATTTTGAGTATAAGGCGACTAATGTTCTACTCTGTAGTCTTGTAATTTTGAACCACATCCAGAAAACAAGGGAACTCTTGGAACAAATAATGGGGGAAATTTGCCTTCATGGAGGACTTTTTGCTGGAACTAACCCTCGGTTAGCCTGACAGCAAGGGGACTCAAACCCCATGACCAGTCTATAACTAAGGATATTTTACGTCAGCACTGTGGTCTGTGTTTGCCAGGTGTGAAATTTGTATCGACCAGCTATCGCTCGACCAGCATTCAAAAACGGTCCACCTCATTGGGAGGAGAGTGCTTCTTCCCCAGAGCCACCACGTCTCTCAATGATATTAAAGGGTGAGAATAAAACATGAGAGTCTTGGAATATTTTTGGAAGGGTCCAAAGCACTGGACAACAAACATTTGGTTAACAGCCCTAGAAAAGTTTCACTCGAAATCATAGTGAAAGATACAAATGCCAAGATGCGGACAGTCCGAAAATGGATCATAGATTTGAAATTGTAAAATGGCATTACATTTACCATAATAGAAAACACAAATAAAGCAGTTCTTGCAATTTTGATTTTTTAAGAAATCTTGTCCTTGCTTTTTAAAGAAAAACTAAAAGCTTTTAATCTGATGCACAGCTATTGATTATGCTTGATAGGAAATAAAATATTTAAATATCTTTGATTAAAACTTAATAAAATGAAATCTAAATTAATAAATTATTTAATCTTACTCGTTTCTAACTATGATTTTTTCTAAAAAATAAATACATTTCAAAGAAAACTTAAAACTGAAATTTATTTTTCGATTTTTTAGCCAACTCATATATAAATGTCCGTCAAATGTCTAACTATACAACTGTTAATTTTGTAAAGCTCGCTAATTGTTTTGAAATGGTTTACAGACGATAAAGCCAGTATAAACTACTTTGACTTCTTTTCAACACTTCTCAAGATTTATTTCGAATAAATAAGCCTGAATAAATTTATATTTCTTCTATTTTTCATAAAATATCCGCTGAGAAACAATTAAAATTCTCCAAAAATACTACTTTTTTTCTAATAGTATTATACGAGAGTTGTTATTTATATTTCTGGCCTTGGCAACAGTAAGTGTTGATAGGTGACCGCAGACGATTTTAATCGAAAGTTTGATATTTTTAAACATAAATTCAGCAGACGATTTACCATTATAGCTTCATTTGTGTTGTTGACAGTAAATTGAAAAGTTCTTCTCTTTCAAAAAATGGAATTGAATCGTGAACATTTTCGTGCCATTATTTTTCATAACTTTCGACGTGGATTGTCAAGACAAGAGTGCTTCGATGAACTTAATTCTTTATTCAGCGATAAAGCGCCATCCTACAGCACTGTAAAAAATTGGTATAACGAATTTAATCGTGGTCGATGTTCGATCCAGGACGAATCCCGTGCAGGTCGTCCAAAATCCGTTGTTGTGCCAGAAAAGATCGATGCTGTGCGTGAACTGATAAAGCAAGATCGTCATGTGACATACCGTGAGATAGAGGCGTCTTTGGACATTAGTATGACTAGCATCAATAAAATATTGCATGAACATTTGAGCGTAAAAAAAATTTGTTCGCGTTGGATCCCGCATAATCTGACAAACGCTCAAAAAAAGGCTCGTGTCGATTGGTGCAAGGAAATGTTGGAAAAATACGTTCAAGGTACATCAAAGGCTGTGTATAACATCTACACAGGTGACGAATCATGGATCTATGCATATGAGCCGGAAACAAAACAGCAATCAACTGTATGGGTCTTCCAAGACGAGGCAAAACCAACAAAAGTTGTTCGAGGAAGAAGCACATCGAAACAAATGATTGCCTGTTTCTTCGGCATTAACGGTCATGTGGCAACAGTGGCGTTAGAGCAACGCAGGACGGTCAATTCTGAATGGTACACGACCATTTGTTTGCCAGAAGTCATCGGAGAAATTCGAAAAAAGCAGAAGAACAGGCGAATCATTCTTCATCATGACAATGCGAGCTCTCACACATCGACTCAAACAAAGGCATTTCTGACGGAGCGAAAGATCGAACTGATGGGTCATCCGCCGTACAGCCCTGATTTGGCACCCAATGACTTCTTCTTATTCCCACACATCAAAAATAAATTACGTGGACAACGATTTTCGACCCCCGAAGAAGCGGTTGATGCATTCAAAACGCATGTTTTGGAGTTACCTCAATCGGACTGGAAAAAGTGCTTTGAAAATTTGTTCAAACGCATTCAAAAGTGTATTGATCATCATGGAGAATATTTTGAAAAACAATAAAACCAATTTCGATCCTACATATTTATTTTTTCATTATTAGGCCAGAAATATAAATAGCAACCCTCGTACTAACATTATTATACTAATAATAAAAAAATTGATCAAAGTAAGAAATATGAGTCGATGAACTTTAAAGACAATTAATTTATTTAAATTCACTAAAACGAACTCAGACTACTCATCCACTCAACTCTTTAAATACGCATTTAAAAAATATTAAACTAGAATTTACAAAAATAAATCATAATTAATTTGTAGAAAATTGTTTTAAAGAAAACGCTGCGTACTCCTAACGATTAAACTTTAAAAATGATTCTTTAAAAAAAATCGTTTCTTTTTTCTCTTAAGTCAAATTGTTTCAGGAAAAAATAACCAAAAGAAAATAACAAATAAAAAAACGCACTCTGATTAGTTATTAAAATTAACTTCGACCCTTCATCCCCTCACCCCTCCAACTAAGCAATTAAGAATTATTAAATTTAAAATGATAAATTATTATAAGCATCTATAGAACATTGTGTTAAAGAGAGCATTTTGAAAGTTAGGTATTTTTATTTAAAACATTTAAAAAAAAATCTTTAAAAAAATAACCAAAAAAAAAATTTTTATGAAAGCACATTGCGATTAGTTATTAAAAGTAACTTAGAACTTTCATCTGCCCATTATTTCAAACAAATGTATACAAAATAATCAATTAAATTTTAAAAATTAAAGCTATAATAATTATGTTGAGAACATTGTATTAAAGCAAACTCTCTAGGACACTCACTTGTCTTTTTAACGGAAAAAAATAAATATTTACAAAAAATCGATCGATTTTTATTTTCTATTGTCAACATCCTTTGAAAAAAAAATAACTAAAGGAAAAATCAAAACTCGTTTGTTGTTAGTTCCGTCCGCAACTTGGGTTTATTGAGTACCCAATCTCAATTATTATTATTATTTATCTCGGCGAGAATAACAACATCGATAAAGAAAGAACTTTTATCCAATGTTTCATCTCCTTGAAGCTGATAATCGGAAATCGATCATCATGCCACGCGGTTCAATGGAGCTCTCATAATCATTTGATATTTCTCTGGAGTCAATTATCCACAATAACTTTTGCATTTATCTTTGCTTATTTCGAGATATTGCTTTCATGACTTCGCCAAACTTGGTTCTTAGTTCGAAATATAATAGGGAATGAAAAGAAAATACTATTTCGTATCGTCATTTTATTTTTGATATAACTTGAACTGTGTCCTTTTTTTTAATGACCGTCGTTGAACAGGCGACCCAATTTTATGGGTTTACGACAAGTGATGTTCAACTCCGTAGCCTTGTATTTTTGAACCCAATCCAGAAGACAAGTGAACTCTTGGATCGAGTTTTGGGAGAAATTTGCCTTCGTGGAGGACTTTTTCATAGAACTAACCCGCATTTGCGTTACATGGCGAGGAAGACCACGATAACCTCCCACGGTTAGCCTGATGGCAAAGGGACTCTAACCCATGATCTGTCTACCACTGAGGATATTTCACGTAAGCACTGTGGTCGGTGCAAGCCGTATCGACCAGCAATCGCAGGGATCGAACCCCGGTTCACCGCATTGGAAGGTGAACGTTCTCTCCCCTGAGCCATCGCGGCTCTGAACTGTGTCTTTGAAACATGGACAAAGCTTGAATGAGGGTTAAAGAAACTGGCCGAAGCAGAAAATGAATCTTTCAAATGAAATGCAGTAAAACAAACTAGATATTCAAAATGCGTGTTCATTTTAAATGTTAAACAATGAACCTCAATTTTTTGCAAGTATGTTACTCATGAAGAAATGCGTGAGCAGCAAAAAGAAAATTAATGCAAAAGCAATTGATTCTAGATTATTGAACTCCATGCATCGCAAATGCATGAGATTGGAGCGGTGAAAGAAAAACATTACATTAACTTCTGTCATTTTTTCTTTAAACTGCGCAGGTTAGGGGGCGTTGTTTTTATGTTCATTTTATTTTAGTTGTGTCTTGCAGTCAATTGTGTTATCTAGTTATTGGATTTTTATTTCAAGTTAGCTTTTGTTCGTACCATTCTTATGTATTTGTCTTGTTTTTATTCTACTGTATTTGCTTCTGTATTTTATATTGTATTCTTCTGTATTTTATATTGTATTCTTCTGTATTTTATATTGTATTCTTCTGTATTTTATATTGTATATTGTGTATTCTATTCTTTTCCTGGACTCAAAACCTTTGAGGTACAGAGAGGGCAATTCTAGACTTTTGTCTTGCTCTCTTGATAGAAAAGGTTTTGCTTTTATGACTTCCGGAGCTGGTACCCCCTGAAGATGTCAGCTTTGGTTGTCATATTTATCCAATTTTTTTAATTTTCTCATTTATTTCATAGTTGAAACAGTGATAGAA